TCTTGCCTGTGTCTCTGACTCCTTTTTGTATTACTGGGGACTGAACCCAGCCAGGGCTTTGCACATTCTAGGCAAGCACTCTCCCACTTAGCTACAGCTATACCCTTTAATTTTTGAGAGAGTCTCACTAAGTTGTTCAAGTCAGCCTCGAATTTGAGATCCTCTTGCCTCAGGCTCCTGTGTAGCTGGGATCTCAGGACCATTTCTTCCTGTTTCTATCTACACTTGTTCCCTAGGAGACCTCAGCCATAATCATGGCTTCACATACCATCAATCCATCAATGACTCCTAAATGTATGTCCTCACCCCAAATCTCACCTTTGAAATTAAGACTCAACGTCTTCTTCCCATTTGATGCTCTACATAGATGCCAAGTCAATATTTTACTGAACAAATAAATCGATCTAATTTAATACATCCAAAATAAACTTTCCACTTCCAATTGTTCAGACCACAAGTTTTGAAGTCATACTTCACTTCTCTTTCATGACCCACATTCAATATATCAGGGAACCCCATCTATTCAGCCTTCAAAATATATCCAGAATCTACCCACTCCATTTCATTGCTACCATCTTGTTCCAAGTCCCAACATCTTGCAGTTGGATTATTATTATTGCCTGATGAGTGGTCTCCTTGCTTTCATCTTAAGCCTGCCTCTCAACAACTTATACCCTAAACACCAACTAGAGTGATCCTTTGAAAATATAAATAAGATCATGTCCTTTTCCCAATCAAAACCTACAATCACCTCTCCTTTTATCCCTGGTAAGAACAAAGTTCTTACAATGCCTATGGTATCCACATAATTTGATGCTGCTACCTCTGTGACCTTAACTTTTCCCACTGGCCCCCTCTGTTCCAGCTTCCTGTAGTTCTTTGAACAAGCTTACCAGGCTCCTGCCCCAGGGTCTTTGCATTCCTTCTGCTAAGAATGCTCTTCCTGTTATGTATCTACAGCATGCTTCCTCTATTCTTTCATATCTCTACTTATAAATCATCTTATTAGAGAGACCTTCCTACTTCTCTTTACAGAGTCATATACCTCCCCCACTTCACGCTCTACTCCTTACCTTGGTGTACTTTTGTACATAGTATCTCACCATTTGACACACAATGTATATAATTTACTACCTTTTCCATAGTCTATTTAACCCCCTGAAGTGTCAGATCTATGACAGCAAGGACCTTGCCTTACTGCTGTATTTCAAGAGCCCAATGTCAAGCATATGTTGGATTCTAGGTCCAGTGGATCAGTGAATCCAAGAATGGATGCAGTGTGCTCATCTGGAAAGAGGCCAAGACTCACAGGATCCTGGCTGTTGAGAATCTATAAACAACTGGAACCCATAACACTGAGTCTTTCCTATAGATAAAGGCACAACTTTTGACATTGCCTCCAAGCCACCTGCTGAATGAGTTTATTGGGTAACTCTGTGACCTTGTCCCCACTGGAGAACTGGATTCTTCTCCCATTTGTGCCATGATCTCAACAACACCCTGTCCAAGAGCCAGAGCTCTAGTGCCTTACTAACCGGCATATTGTTTGTCCAGCATGCCAGTGTGGGCTTCTGAGTCTGCTGGAAAAAAGGCAGTATAAGTGCAAATGCTTATCTCTGGGAGGCTGGGTTTTGTGGACCACATGCAGCAGAATGAAGAGCAAATTTGTTATAATCAGAGAGCAAACCTCCACCCACTCACCCCACTAAGCTGAGACTTCTTCCTGCGCTATGGCTGTGGCATCTGCATCTGGCAACATTTCACTGACTCCTGGATTTCTCTGCTTATCAGCACAGAATTGAGCCTCTGATGCCACAGGAAAACATATTCCAGTGACACTCATTTGCACCCTGATTACCCTCACTGATGTCCCAAACACACACACACACACACACACACACACACACAAACACACACACAAACCAGACACACTGACTTTGATGGACTGGCTCTGACTGCCCTGTGACACCACAGACATGAGAATGGATGAGTCACATGGTAGGCACAACTCACATGGGTTGCTCTTGTGGTTCATGTGCAAGAATGGGAGAAGTGACCTTGATTCATAAATGTGATACTCTTGGCAGGAACCTCTCTTGTTCTCTCCTCAAATTCAGCTAAAAAGGCAAACCCAGAGAGAACCTTTTTTCTTTACTCCTAAGTCAAATCATTGTTCTAAGACTACTCAATGGAGAAAGGTAAGAACAATGTGTTGGCTCACGTTTCCCTCACAGTGTGCTTGTTACTTCCCACAGCATGTGTACCTTTCCCTTCCCAGGCTGCTGAGGGCCCATCCTCTGGATTCAGGTACCTTCTGCTTTCCACCACTTACCAGAGAGGGCTTGTAAACTTGAGCTAGTGGAGCCTTGGGAAAAATTTATCACTTTGGGTTTACAGATGAGCTCTGTGTGTGCATTTGCCGCACAAATGCATGTTACACACATCTGCACACATGTACATGCAAACCTGCAGAGATCAAATATCATGCACAGACCTGCAGAGATCATGCCAATGCATCACAAACACAGGTGTATATCTGTACACAGAGACAGCCTGCCCCCACATAATCTGCACGGACACAAATAGGTTCATATATAAGGACCTTTTCCATTATGCACACCTACCAAGCACATATTTGCATATATAGCATATTTATAGAACAATAAGCCAAAATGGGACTTTTTCTACCTTTTGAAATACTGAGAAGCCAAAATTATACAATATTTGGCATGGCTGTTGCAAAGTGAGGAGCTATTCCACCTCAGCAGGAATTGCAAAGATGGGGAACAAAAATCTAGCTTTTCAACCTGAGTCTAATATGTACCTGAGGGTATAAAATTACTGAAAGGAGATCTCAAAGGGGTTTTTGTGCATCCATGTTCATAGCAGCATTGGTCATAATACCAAAGAGGTGGAAGCAATCCAACTATCCATTGACGGATGAATGCATAAGCAAAATATGACCTATAAACACAATGAAAATGTTATTCAGCCTTAAAAAGGAAATTCTGACCCATACTGCAACATGGATGAACCATGAAGCTATCATTCTAAGTGAAACAGATTTAAAAAGTTGAGAAGGAAGATGTTTAGGTGAAGTTGTTGGACTGATGTGACATTGTTTTCTCAGCTCACCTTGAGACAGCACATGGGAACACGTCCTTCTCATCCTATACCTGTAGCTAGAATCATCACAGAGAGCTTGTTTTGAGGCCCTGAAGTTAGAGGCAAACATGTGGGACTGGTGATTGTGGCCCACCCAAAATGCTTACAGGCAAGAAGAGGCTGGGCTAGCTCACTGCTCAGCCAGCCAGGAGAGACGGGGCACTGTGCTAAAAATGGCCAACACTCCAGCACTGACTGGCCAGAGAATGCCCGAGCATCTTCCCTGTATATATGGACCATGCATAAAAGAGATCTGGCTGGAGGTTTTGTCCCCAAAGCCCCCAGGTGCAGTGTTACCAAGGAGGAATTTATAAGGGGTGAAAGAACTGGCAAACAGCCAGGCAGTAGAACTAGGCCCTGACTTAAGGAATTGCAGTTGGGAGATCCCTAATGATAAGGGTCTTCAAAAACCCACAGAGTAAACCCCAAGACAGAGTTATACTTAAACCTTGCTGATGCTAGATGAAACCAACACCAGGGTCTAGGGTATCAGGGAGATCAGCTGTCCTAAACCCCACCGTCCATATTACCTGGAGGAACCAGAAGAGGCCTAAAGGAGTGGAAGAGAAGAAAATGGACCTTTCTCTCCTTGCCCCATGTTGGAGTCTCCAGCCCCAAGTCAGCTCCTACTGGATGGGAGAGACAGAAGGACACACATCTTCACTTTCAGTACAATTTGGAGTCTTTCCAGCTATCCAGATAGGAAATTTTAATTACGGAAATGAGTCTATTCTTGAGATTGTAAGTGTCAGGGGAGGATTTGTGAGTCTCTAAAATTATGATTGAAGAAATCAGGCCTGAGTTTCTGCTCTTTAAAGATTTCATCCAATAGGGCAGGGAGAAAGTGTTTAAGCCAGCACTTCACAAGGACGACCATTTTAAAAAATGAAGTTACTTGCTGTCTGAAACTTACAGAAGTCTGATTTTCTATGAAGGGCTACTCCTACATATAGAATAAGCCTAACAAATGATTTAGCAATGAGATTTCTGTCCCCAGCCCACACTCCTGCCAACACACAGACTGCTTCTTTGTAATTTGGGGTGATATAATCAACTACTTCACCTAACACACGCACGCGCGCGCACACACACACACACACTTATCACTGATGTATTATTTTGCTGCAAACTGACCACAGCCAATCTAGGAAAGAGGACCCCAGCGACCTCTAAAAAATATGCATTCTTTTCCTTTTAAATTCAAGGATAATATGAAAATAACACATTCAAGGTCACAGATGACAATGACTTATCTTTTATCCTTTCATAATTTTGGCCAAAACCCTCCAATGCAACCTTGAACCATAAATTAGGTTGAAGCATTTAAACTGCTGGCATTCTACCATTTCTGAACTGTGAAACTATTTCATATGGTTCAACCCATTAATGTACCTTTTTAGGATTCTATTTATAAAATGATGGTAATAATTCATATAGAGAAGGGTTGTTTTGCAGATTAAATGTACAACAGATACTAGGACCTAACCTAAAAGCCATACTCACTGGTTTTCAGATGTATCTTTACCACACATTGATTGGGATGAGAGTCACTGCTGCTCAATGAATGTTTATTTAATTTCCACTGCGTCACCCTCAGTAGATTTTGGGAGGGGAAACAGGACTTCAGAATCTGCTTTATTCTCTTTTGTCACAGAGCTCTTTATTATTCTCTGATCTTTTATTTTTTAGCCCCTTATTCTTAGGAGTATAATAGCCACTCTTCTCTTTCTGAATATATTGTTGTTGCTCTTTTTGCCCTGTGCAGTTTTCTTCTGTTTCTAGCATTGTCTCTGTCACCTTTGGGTTCCTTTTTATTTGTTTCTTTTGTTCCAAAGGCTTTGGTTGCCTAGTGACATTGACTGGTGTTCCCATTTATGAGCTGGAAAGCTGTTTGGCGGCCCAGGAGCAGAGTTTGTTGACTGGTGAGTTTCACTACTGGATGGAAAATTGAACTGGTTTTGCTCTTAGGCTGGTCAGCTTCCATATAAAGAAATTCTCCAGTCTCTTACCTGGGGGTTATTCCCCTGATAGCTATGTGGATCACACTGGCAGCCATATGGGTCTCACTATGCAATATGAAAGTTTCATTTAATATTTTGTTAAATAAAGTATTTTCCCCTATCCTGAATGGTGCCTAGTGTCTCTCTAATTCCTCTTTCCCCAAAGAAACATATCCAGTATTTTATTGTGCTAGAGGAAGGACACAGCCCAAATTCCCTAGTTAGGGGAAGAAGTGATGGTGGTGGTGGTGGTGGTGGTGGAGCTGGTAGCAGTAGTGGTGATAATGGTGTGGTGGTGGTGATAATGTTGCTAGTGATATTGATGTTGGCAGTGATGGTGATGTTGATGTTAGAGTGGTGGTGGTGGTGATGGTGGTGGTGATGGCAATTATGGTAGAAGTGGTAATGGTGCTGATATCTCCTGTTCTTTCAACCATTTTTACTGCTCTCAACCCTTTTCACCCCACTACAGGCTACTTGGTATCTCCACATCCTCATATGACCTAGGGTTCTCTGCTTTCTCACCTGTGGGCTTAATTCAAAGCTTTCCCCAGCTGGTTTGGGAGGTTGCTATTCAGCTATCAGATTTCCTTTTTCAAAAAGTTAGTTGACATAGCTAAGTTCATATTCTCTTTCTCAATGTAAACTCTTCCCTTTTAAAAAGATTAATTACACTGTCATTTTGTAGAGCTTGAGGAAGAAGCAGATATAAATGAATGGGATTGCTTTCCATTTAAAATGGAAGTTCTCCACTGCCCCTTTAACACCTAGATTTTGCTTCTTTACATCTTATTTTCTGATTTTTCTATATTTATTTTGTTTTCAGTACAAAAAATAGGTTCCATTTTCAAGTACACTGACCACTCCAAAGTGAGGTCAGACATCTCAGCCTTTCTTTGTTCCAGTCAAGCTCAGACACCAGGACCCTGAATTTCTGGGGGGTGGGGAGTGAAAGGGACCTGAGTCATTTCAGTCTTTTCACCTTTTAGATTATATGTTTTCAAAATAAAGATATGGTAAAATAAAATTTGGGAAAATTGAACTATATGTTTAAATATTTGCATTTACCAATTTCAACACAGAAAAAAACTACAAAGCAATTCATTATGCACTATTCACAAGATAATTACAGGATTTCTTAAAATATTAATTCATAACACATAGGTAGAGTAATACAGAATGAGACACAAGCTTAAAATAGTGACAAGTGTCAATTTTGAATTTTATTTCAACCCATTTAGAGACAGTATCAACTTCCTGAATCTTAGAATATACACAGATATGGTGGCCATGCCATCTGCTTTTGTCTATTACTCCTCCTCCTGCCTCAATACAGCATGCACACCCCTACAAGGTGGGACCTGGAATGTCATCTGTGAAGCTTCCACCAACGGCAGCACAAGCAGAGTTACAGAATGGTGAACAAGTAATTGCCCTTGTGGAATGGACCAGGTGGGCAGAAAGTATCTGTTCCACAAGTAGGTCTTACATACAACCATTGTCTCTAGAATTAAATGTCTGCTTGACTCTGACCAGGAGACAGAAAAGAAGTTAAATGACCAGCATGGTTTTCCTCCCTTTAAGATAACCAGGTTATCAGGACTCAACCCCAGAAGGATTTGGAACCAAGGTGGAACCTTCTCTTTTCAAACCACTTTAAGATTTGAAGAAATATATAGCAGGAAAAAAATTATCCATGCACCGTTTCACTCCTAAACATTCAAGCAAATAATCTATTTTCTATTTTTCCATGTTTTCTTCCTATCTATCTGAATCATCACAGGCAGATGTGCATGCGCACACATGTATACTGTGAAAATGAACAGAACACTGGCTCTGAAGTCAGATAGTGCTGAATTCAAAATCTGTCTCCTTGCCCTCCACCATTTAACAAGTGACAACTACTCTGAGTTCATTTTCATCTGTATAAATGGGGTAAAATTAAAATAATGTGATGTAATACATGGGAAATGCCAATCAAAATGTTTGCTACATAGAAGATGCTTAATAAACAGTAGCCAAAATTATTGTTATTGGTTCCTTAATTTAACATTTATTAAGCCTTTATTATGTGCAAGGTGACAGAGGATAAGACTGCACGCCTGTCTTGCAAAAAATGTATCATCTAGGACCAGAGATGGACACGTACTCAGACTATGAGCATGCTATGTACTAAGGGCTCCATCCTACATGTGCTAGCAATAATGTGGCCTGAATCAGGCTGAACCAGGAAGACAGAAAGACCAGGCCAGTCAGGCTTTGGTTAACATAAGTCATGGGGATTTGGGAGAATTTGCTGAAAGAGAATTTGACATTCTGCCTTTTTAACTGAACATCAAATTACAAGCACTTTTGATGTTGCCACATAATCTTTCCATCATTTTTAATGACTGCATAATATTACACTGCTTTGAGGTTCTGTATTTTCCTTTAGCTTGCCCCTGTCATTGGATTGTTAGTCACCCACCTGGAGCTAACACTACAGATAAAGATATCACCACAATGAATATGCACATGACAGTTTTTCTGCTGGGAAATTATTTCCGTGGGATAAATTCTGGGTCAAAGGCAATGAGCATATTTAAATAGTTCTTACAACTCACTGCCAAGTTGTTGTCAAAGGATTCCTACAAGAGATATTATAATTTTATTAGAAAAGGTGAAATGAATTCTTGAATGTTGCTTTTATTTCCACTTCTTTGATGTGTTGTTTCGTGAGGGAAATCTCATGGATATTGAGCAGGAAATTCTGTGGGTATGAGGTTCATCTCACTGCAGGAAATAGTGAGAGGTCTGTCTCATTGAAGCACAGGGCAATCAGGAGCTCTACATGGTGACACTAATTGCATTTCTTAATTGTGTTGTTTGTATTTTACCTCTCTTCCAGTCAACTAAATGCATAATTAATATCATAATAATCAGCATTGAATGGAACAGGGCAAAACATTGTCATTTCCAAATTTTACTGCTATTTCAAGAGGATGGTGACTGTTAAATGTGTCCTATGCTCTTGCCTACACACTTTGAAAGATTTGGAAAAGCAACTGAAACCAGATTAGTATATATTTGTGGATCTTCTATTATTGATTGGTAATTGTTTGGTTTTTTACTTGCCTGTAGCCTTTTATTTATCTTGTGTATTTGCTTTTGCTATAACAAAATACTTGAGACCAAGTAATTTATAAAGAACACCTGGTTATTTGGCTCACTATTCTGGAGGCTAGGAAGTCATTGAGCACAGGGCCAGCACCTAAGTAGGTCCTTCTTGTATCATAACAGGACAGAGAAAAACACACAGTAAAACACAGCAAGTGGGCCAGCTCAGATCTCTTTTCCTCTACTTGTAAAGACACTAATCACATCATGTGGCCCCAGCTCCTGACCTTATCTAATGCTAATTACCTCCCAAAGGTCCCACTTTCAAATACCATCAATATAAGAGTTTGAAGATTACATTTTTAACACATGAATTTTGGGGAACACATTCAAATTATAGTGCTCTCAGGGAAGAGGAAATAGTGAAGCCCATTTCAGGATAGAGGAAAAGATTCAACTTAGAGGAATCCTGGGCTGAGGTGAGTTGAGGAAGGGGAACCTTGCTCCTCTGCTCCCCTGAGATTTTTCTGTAGGGAACATATTGGTTAAAATGAAGGGACCAACCACACAGGAAGCTGGCTTTCCCAGCTCAGGGAGGAACAGTGGAGGATGGCATGGTGGAAACACCCAGGAGGATCCTGGCAACAGAGGATGGGGCATTGGAGGATGAGAGCTTGTAGCATGCTTCCCTGTGTGTGGTGAACAGGGAACAGCTGAGAAGGGTGCTACACAAGGCCTAGTCCAGGGATAACTGTGCAGCTTTTGCAGGAGGAAGCACCTGGACAAATGGCCAGGCAGTATGTGGTGTTTAAGGTATCTGCAAATTCCCAGGGATCCCAGCAAAGGACATTGAGTCACTGAGTAGGACTAGTGTAAACAAACCTAAGGACCAGAGGCAAACAGGAAGAACCATAAACTTCAGCAGTGGATGGCCACATCATGCCCCTAAGGCCAGTTGAGAGCAGTCACTGGCCTGAACCACCAGCCACTGGTCTAGGCACCAGGTTAGTCCAGGCAGCTCACAGAAGATGGACACCAGGAAGATCTGATACACGTCCATCCATCTTGAAACCAACTGCTTCTTTATGCACCTAGCTGTCACAACACCTTGCTTGCCCCATGTTGGCTTGAACAAAGATGTGGTGTCTGGAGCTAGAGGAGCATCATGCAATTCTGAGACATAAAAAGGGGGGAAAGGCCAAGGGAATCAGTCACTGCCCCCAGCATTAGTAAGCTGCTGAGCCAAAGCCCCACTAGAATTCTTGTCAAAAATAAGAATGAATTGTTGGGTGAGATTTTCAGTTCAGAGACAATTCTAACAGGTACAACACTGATTGATCCCTCAGGAACAGAGAAGCTCAAGTGGACATCTTGGTTGCATGGATATTCTGCCCTACAAAATCATCATACACCATCACTTCCACTTTCTCAGAGTATTGTAACATCCTCAGCCCTAAAAAAAAGTGGGTGCTGGTTTGCCCTATTAGAGCTTAGCTGAAAAGTAAAGGAAGCAAGACCAAGTTAGAAACGAAAACAATAAAACAAAAATTTTGCTTTCAAAGAAATCGATGATGAAGAAATAGTTACAGGGGAATTTGGAAACAGAACCATAACACCACCCTGTAAAATCCCAATACACATGTTCCTACCAAGAGACTCTACCCTTCCTAATTCCCAATTATTCCACTAACTTCCATTCATTTTAACCCAGACTGTTACTAATTTGTTGCACAACTTTGAGGCCCAAGGTAATTATTCCATGAGCTCCTTAAGATCAAGAAGCAAATATTAGTTATCCTTGTAGTCCCAGTGCCCATGGGGCTTGG